TTTCTGTGAAGCTTTTTACCAACTGTGACTTCAAAACAGGATGTTTCTCAAATATGAAAGGAAAAAGGCCAAAGAGTCAAGTTTGGCTTTTGCAAGAGAAAGGGAGGGAATAGAAATGGTGGTTCCAGCAGGTGCTTGCTAAGAAGAGCTCCTTCATGGCACTGGGGCAAGGCTGCTTCCTTGGTGCTGTGGAGTAACGTGGTGAGAAGTGCAATTCCTGGAGACCAGATCAAACATTAGCAGCCCCTCTTGACTCTGTGTCTTTCCCCTGTGCCCTTCCTGCAGCATCCCTGGGCCCCACACGTGCACCCAGCAATGCAACGTGGCTGGGCCACAGGTGGCAATTTGCCATTTACTGGCAATCACACCAGCACACATCTGCAGAATCAGCAGGGTTTTATCCTTGCTGACCTAATCCGTTCACCCACGAGTGCAGGGYATGCCAGTTAGGGTGGAGTTTCATTTTCAAGTGTTACTGCAGGAAACTGGAGTTACTAAAAATACTGTGAAGCTCTGAATGGAATTTCATAGAATCATAGAACGGCTTCAGTAGGGACCTTAAAGATCATCTAGTTCCAACCCCTCTGCTGTTTGGGACATATGCTCATTAAATCCAGAAAACTCAGAGCTAAAAATTCAATTTCATCTATAGAGTTTTTTCCCCCTGTGTACAAGTCTTTCTGTATCATATCCCAAACAAAAACTGCATTACATATGATTATCCAGACACTGAATTCAAAGGTGAATGTCTGCAGCAATAGTCTCTAAAATATTTAAGATTGAAATGAACTGGAAAGTCAGGCTTTTTTTGCTTATTTTCAATAGTAAACTAAAAATTCACATTTTGTTTCTCATCTTCATGATAGCGTGTGTGGTCATGGAACAGTGAGATTGCTGCAATCTCTAAGTGCAAGTTGGCATCAGCTGTTTTTCCAGAGAAACTAAATTTCTGTGGTCATTATTTGCTTGTTTTCTTCATACCTAATTACAAATTTGGATAAGAGTAGYCTTAGCTAAAACTTCAAGAACTTTCAAGTCTGACAGTGCTCACAGTAAACATCCTTGAGGCTGCCAAGAAACAAACAAGCTAAGCCCAGCAAGAGCAAAATGGACATTCCTGGTAATATGATGTAAAATTCAGAATAATTTTGATTCAAACCTTCTAGTTAATTTCTAACATGTTTATGTACTAGACAATCCCAATAAAAACAAAACTATATATACATGTACTTTAGTTTCTTTTACATGATGGATCTTGAAGATTATTTAATAAGAAAAATGTTCCTATAAGTGAACTCTTTTGAATAGTTGCCCATGGGAAACCCTGTGACTGGAATAAACTAAAATTAAACTGGAGGAAACCTGGAAGAGGAATCATTTTGCATTTGCCAGAAGATACACTGGAAAATCATGACTCTTCCTAATTTATACTTTGGCAAAGTGTATGATCCCAAGATGAGAAAACAGACATATAGGATAAATACTGTATCTAGGAATGCCACATCGGAATAGAATCCTACTTGAAGAAATCATTTCAAATTATTTTAAAACAGTGATGAAATTGTTTAGGAAAGGATGTAGTAGCCCTAGAAATCCCAGTGAACTCCTACRTGAAGAGCCAGGACAGAAAGAGGGGTGAATGTCCAGTCCTTCATTGTCTCTTCCTCTTCTGCCCTACCTTCCATCCCATCTATAACATCAGTTATTAAAGTCATGCGATTGTTCCAGAAAGGAGGTGGTGGCATGGTTCCAGGTTAACAGTGCCAAAACAATATCCAAACCTAATGAGAGATGAAATCTTAGAATTAGGGGTTTTTTGTTTGGGTTTTTTTTTCCTGTCTGCTCAAAAAAAAGTTGGTTTTGGACAAACAAACCAGCAAAATTAAATTGAACATGTGGTTGATAAATGAAGTGCAGAAGTGTATGGAATAAAAACCTGGCTAGCACAGGTAGTTAAAGTGGTGTTGGCTCCCATGCACTATTATTACACATCCTTTGCTGAAAACTGTATACCTTTCACAATTTTGAACCTCCTGTGTGTTTCCTCATATTTTCAATCAAATTATTACATACTAGAAATATGCATAAGGGAAATTATTCTACACATTTTATGGTGTGCTGTTGCTTGTAGCAGTAATTGAAGTACCTTTTCCACTTATGAAAGTACTAATTTTATTTGGTTTTATTGCTTTTCTAGATGCAATTATTTATTTAGTGTGTTTTGGCTTTATTAAATTATGTTTACTATAGGAACATCATAAAAATGTATGAAAGCAACACATCAGCCACTACTGCCCAATGACTTGTTTTGGGGAATCTAGTGTTATTTTTCATATCCAAACATAATAGAATAAGGTAAGAATAAAGAGATAATCTACACTGGAAAACAATGCAATTTTGAGAAAATATAATAAAACACCTGGACAATATGATTTCATAAATCTTTCTTCTAAAATTTACATGAGCTGGGCGTTGGAGTGGCTATTTTAGGACATGCGGTATTTTCTAAATGGAAACATAACAAGAAATGTGATTAAACAATAAAGGAGAAAACACACAGATTTAGCTTGCCCTGAACAACTGATTCTTACAGAACAATGAAAATATTTCTACCTCAACAGRCATTCTGTATCAATCTTAGGAAATGTAGAGTTTTACTTTGGCAGTAACTAACAGCTTTGTTTGAAAAGTTTTATCAGATTCATTTTTAGGAGGCTTTTCAGTGCAGTGTATTTATGCATTGAAGGTCTGATGGGACACTGAAGCTGGCAGCAACATTCCCAATGCCTTCAAACAGAGACTCAATGTGCTATCAGACACTGAGAATAAAATCTTCMGTGTTGGTGTTATTGTGGTGTCCACTCTCAGTGCAACTCCTGGGTTTAGCTTCTGTACTACAAAACTGAATAGGCAGGCACATAACAGTTTTGAAATCTCAAAAGGAATCTTTAACTCAACATAGAAGCAAAAAATAGCTGAAGTGCCGAGAAACTGAGGCTAATACTTTCAGGATAGAAAGAAAAGGCAATATAAAAAATATCAGGCATCACAGCAGTTGACTGAGTTTGTTCTAAATCTTTAAACCAAGGCCAAGATGTCKTTCTAAACATTTCTAAATCTTTAAACCAAGGACAAATGTCTTTCTAAACATTCAGTTTAGTAGTTCAGTTCAGTCCTAATGCATTAAAAAAAGAAAATATATGTGTGATTTTATTTCTTTTACAGTCAAGATCTGTCTGGATCCACAGGAATTCCCTTTACGTCATTACACCAGAGAATTCAATGAAAGCAAGAAATTCTCTGTGTTGTCAACAGCAGAACATTYGATAGAGAATGAGGACGAGAAGTAGAGATCAAACAGGACTATGCAGGGAGGTGGGGGAGGGAGGGAACACCATGTGAACAGTGAAATGCAAAGGTGCCAGTCCTGCAGGCAGCGCCCTGCAAGGGGCTTGTACTCACATTGCACACATCAGTTGACTTCAGTGACACCACCTGCAGCAGCAGCTGCACAAAGTATTTGAAGACTTGATCTGCAGAGAAGAAATAAGATCAAATTAATGCTGGGAAACTTTTTTGCCCTGATAGGAACAACCTGAGATGCTGAGTGTGARCAAATGTCAAGGCAAAATGAGAGGATTCCAGAGCAGTACAAAGGACAGGAAGCAGGGGAGCACAGGGGCTGATTTCAGAGGGTGTTAGATGCTTATCTTTTTAGGCAGGAGACAATACAGTAATTATTCAAACATGTTTCAAGGAAACAGGAATAATTTGTGTTAAATCAGAAATAAATAAGCAATAAATAGAATGTGAAACTTTTGGCCCTGGAAAATATTTACAATTTTTTCCTAACATTTAATTACTGCATGGAAAATCATGGTTTATGAACTTTGAGCCAGTTTTAAGTTTACAGCTGCCAAAGCCTTTCTTAGTCTGAGAGATGCAACTTTTCATGGTTGCTTCTTGCGACTGGAAAAATTCGTGTGGCTGAAAAGTTTTGGGTTTTTTTAATTGTCCTATACACTTCAACTTGAGGACACAGGTAGAACACAGTACTCAAGAAGCTAAAGAACAAATTTTCCAGTTCTTCACTTGCACAGGGCCRTAGAACTTCAACCTTCTTCCAGGAGCACAGACCTCAATCTTCTACAGATGAGCTGAAATCCATTTCAAACTGAGGGTCTCATGTTTCATTTGTTGCTACATTTTCTGAGGTGAATTGGACCTGAAAAACCCACTCCCAATTGTGAGCAAAACACACAGGAGCACAAGACAAGATTTTCCTCCTCTAAGCCACCTGAGCCTGTATAGCGTCCCCAATAGCAGTAGGTAGCTTCTGCCACACACAAGAAATTTGTTCAGTAATTTTATTGATCCTCTCCCTTAGCTAGATTTTACAGTTTTAAGTCAAATTCAATCACTGTAATACAGCAGACAGTTTTAGTGGTATGGCCTTTGTTCTAAACCGTGAACTCATGTATAGCTTGGCAAAAGTGGTGAAATTCCACTGGAATGTCAGTAGTTCTATCCAGTTTTTTCTGCCTTCTGCATATTTGTAACATTTTTTGGTTTTGTTAAGAAATATATTGACAGGCTCTGTGAGTGACTGTGACTAGAGATGTAACTGGTCCAAGGTTTACAGCTGGAAAGCAAATCTGGCATTTCAAACTGTGAAATCTGCAATAAATAAAAATGGGAAATTTAGTATTAAGGAGGCTGAACATTTTGGTAACACATCTTTCAAATCTGCAATATTTGAATTGTCAAAATGTTCAACGTTTGTGAAATCAGAAGCAAACTTGAAAATTCTACTTATTCCTGTATCTTATTTTTAATATTATTTTTATTTCGCCTTCCATGAACTAACTCTAATGTAGTGTAAACTAATTTACAACATAGTAGAATTAGAATGGGTGGGAGAAGAAATATAGCCAATTTAATAAAATATCTACATTCAGTGGTAATGACGTTGTAACTAATTTGTTGGTTCTGTTTTMCAGCCAAAAATCGCAGAGGAGAATTTAACATATGCTGAACTTGAACTGATGAAGCCGCTTCAGGAAGCCAAAGGCATTCCCAGTATGACAGTCTATGCACAGATACTCTTTGAGGAGAACAAGCTGTAACAGTTCATGCCTGTATAAATGTCCTTTGTCTGTGTCCTATTTAATTCTTGCTGTGCTGTTTATTTATAAAAACCATAYAAATGTCCTTATTTTTTTATTTCCGTTCACGCACTTCTATTTTTCTATGAGACTTTTAAACACAATGTAGTTGAAAGTAATCATAGAAAAAGCAGCTGATCTACAGGTGACATCCCAGAGATGCCTTTGTAGAGTTCTGTACCCCTGTTGGAAATGAAGTTCCACCTGGGGCATTTGTAACACTAAACATTATTCCTTCTTTTATGTTAATATGGTGAGTCCAGCTGCAGACATCAATATCTTAGCAACACTCAGGAGGACTAGTGGCAGRATCCATGCCCATCAACCTGCTACTGAAGGAAAAGACCACTGACCAGAAAAATGGCCACTTTAATGCATTTTTGTCCCATCCAAAAAATATGAACCCAGTAAATAGGAGACCTTCTTCTACTTCTACTTCTCTTTGTCTTCTATGTTTTCAAATAATTTTTCTAAATGACATTGTTTTTAAAAAACTTATGYTACTTTTAGTAAGGTGTCTGAAATAAGATATTTCAAAATAATCTGAAGGAATAATTTATGGTTAAACCCCAATGATTTAGGGAAGAATATTCATAGCTTGGAAATATCTCCCAGGATTTCATTTTTTAAAAGTTCTGATTGGGAATAGGAAAAACTTGATAGTGAATAAAGAGAGAGGCAGGACACTGCTTTTGGTCTTGGTTTAGTTTGGTGTTTCCAGTCCTGCAAAAGTTTCCTCCTGTAGCCTGCACTACTGACCTGCTGATCTWGAGGAAAACATATCACACAGTGCCTCCTGCAGTATGGAACAGACTCTGTAATGCCCTGCTGACCTACTTTGGAGTTAATTCTTTGGAAAGACCGGGGCTCAGGAGATAGGGAAATGAGCCCARTGTGAGGACACAAAATAACATTCCTCTTTCTTTACCTCTTGATAACTGAGAAGGCATTCTTCCTTTTCCTTTGATAAACATTCACGGAAAATGAGTTATTCTGTGCCATCCTGGGCATTTCAGTCATGAAGAATAGYGGGACTGATGTGTTTCAAGCTCATGTATCTTCAATGTCTAAATTTCCCCAAAGCTCAGGGAAAGTTGGATACCCAACATCTTTCAGCTCTTAGGAAGCTTTAGCCCTTGAGTAACTATGGGGTTCATGGAGATTAAAATCATGGGCTCTTCAGGTCACCATCAGGTCATGGAGATCCCATACTTGGCATGTGCCAGGTCTCCTCCAGGTCTGTGAGGGAGCCCCATGATGGGCTGCTCGTTCAGCAGTGTTTAATGGGGATTTTGGAGTAGACTTGCAGGCCTTGGGTTCTGGAGTCATGACTAAGGTGGTCCAAGTTGCTTCTTCCCACAGCTTTTTAGGGATAAAACAACTTCTTACCAGGGCTCAGAGCACAGGTCTGGGAATTGTCACAACACTCATGCCCTTGTTCCTGTTACTGCATGGGAGTGCAGGACAGGAGGACTGGGGGGACATGGCAAGGATGGGGACATGAAACCAAGGGACAGAGCACATCCCTGCCTTTTGGAGGGTTTCACCAGAATAAGCGAGTCTGTRTGAACTTCTTTCTAACTTTTTTGAAGAGTGGTAGAGATAAGGCAGCACACATACTCTGTTACTGTCTAGCCAGGATTTGTAAATATAAAATGCAATCATCTGCTTCCACATTAGATAAAAATCTCTTCTATAAAAAAGAATTTAAGAAAAGCTTMTCAGGCTGACCATTATGTACAGTACTAATTCCAAATCTATTCCTTTGTCAAAACAGTTCTTTCCAAACTAAGGGCAGCTTTTATCAATAGATTTGCTAATAATTATTTGTTTGCTAGTAATTATTTGCATTTTAATGTTTGCATTTGTGAACTGTCAAAAACCATATTTGTTTCACCTTTGCATTATCCCAGGAGTTAATCACCACCAAAAAGGCGTGGTTTCTTTCCTTGTTCTCTTATCAGGTGTTGGACTTTCATTGACAACAATAATCAACTCATTGACCAAATGGTGCTAAAGAGCAATTCAGCATTCAGGGTTCAATTTTGGAACAGCCAGTTTAACTGACTATTCAGAGAAGTCATCTGTTCTTCAGACAGCTGTTCAAAAGGCCTTAGAAAAATATAGAATTTATTAGTTGTTACTTTGGAATTAAAAATAAAATCCTGACATGTTAATTTGACCACTTAGTCGGGAAAACTTTGAGGTTTGGTTACAAACATTCCTTTTTCATACAACTGGCCATTGTGCCCATTGTTYAGAAGAATCCTCTACTGTAAATTTATGCCCAGCATGTTAATGAATACCAYTCTTTATGTATTAATATCCTATATATTCTTGTTTATATTTGATATCTAATTCCCCAAAATAATAGGTAATTGAACTGAATAAATGACRTTTTTTATAAGATTTGTTGTCTCAGTCTCTGTAAGATTTATTGATTCCTAAAGAAGGATATTGCTTCATAGATTAAAGGATATGCATTTACCTCTTATTCAGCATTTAGAAAGTCACAATATTTGGAATTGAATTCTTCATTCTGCAGAAAATTCTAGGCTTTTCAAATGTTTTCAACTTGGAACTGACTTCAGATGGCAGCAGAATCCTGAAAAGCAACAGACCAGCTGAGTGAAAAGAGAACAGATATATTACTTGGGAGAACACCCATCTTCCCAGGCAGACATTTCCTATGACTTTTCTTACGGAATGTTCACCTAGATTTAATGTCAGATCACATCATTGAGGAAAAAACCCCATCATCTTGCAATTAATTGCACATCTCTCAGCATCAAACCAACCCACAGAAAGACTACAGAGAAGAAAATGTCACTGAGAATAATATTCTTCAGKGTGAGAAATGCAGAATAAATGGATTTAGCTCCTTCTAACAMGAACTGCAAGGCCAAGTTAATCCCTGGCCTAACTCTGGCTTCWGCAGAACAGCAGCAGAACTGAAGGTGGCCCACAGTTCTTTTATGACAGGAGTTCCCATGAAGACTCTTAGTACCTTATTAAGCAGCAGTTGGAGTTTGCTGAGACACTGTTTTGGTTACTCCTGTTGTCATTGGTAAAAGACGGCTTTGTGCTAAAACTTTAACAAATATGGCTCTGTTAGCTTCACACCAAATTAATATCAKATGGTTAAATGTTAATGTACTGCACCCTATAGCTTTAAATAGAATTAGATATGTTTACAGCTTTGGTTAAATGCACCTTGTTCCTCCACATTAAATTTTATTACTAGAATCCTCCATCAGCAAATAGGAGTAAATCATATTAGTGTCACAGGCTGTGTGGGGGTTGATTCTGCAGCCCAAGGAAAAGGTATTTTATTACACTTTATTAYAACTTTCTAATTGGTAGGTGTGGTCAACATGTCATTATCTTTGCAATTGCACGCAAATGATTTGTTTTAGTATAACTGTAGCATAATTGTGGGATTCTCTTCATTAARAAGTTCAATAAACTTGTGTCCTTAGCCTGGGCTTGGCCAGGTTCTGCTGGCATAGAAGGACTCAGACCAGGTAAMATGATGTTTAATTTGTAGGTTAAATTCTGTTTTTTTATGGCTTCTCCAAAGCACCTCTGGTGAGTGACATAAAGGTTAAAAGATCCTTTTCAGCTTCAGTCTAACCTGCCAGTGTAAAAGATAAAATTCCTAAATTTTACTGCACAAGTGGTCTTCCGAGTTTTCTGCACTAATGTGAAATGTACTCATTCCATGTGCTTTATTCCATCAGCAGGTCTGATTCCATTTTACTACCTTGGCTGGGCAGATCAAAAGACTGCATGTCAACGGAAGATTTTTGCATAAGCCCTGGGTACTTCAGGAATCCTCCCTGTCTTGGCACCCTATTGTGTCTCTCTTGTTCCTTACCAGCATTGCTGATTTCCAAACCCCACAAAGCGCTTTTCAGTCTTCAGCCACTATGGTCAGAAATGTTCTTGAAGCCTTTTTGAGCCTCCTTCTGAGACCTGCCCAGGTTTTCATCTCAGTACACAACAAAGCCAAGTCACTGCAGTTGCATTTCCCCACTGTGAGGATCTGAGATCTGATCTGTGAGGATCTGCTGCTGCATCTCACCCCAGGGAAGCAGGAGGTCATGTCCACAGGCCCCAGGCAATCTCACTTGGGCTGTGGTCCTGGATAGGGAAAAACTTTGAGGAAAGGGACGGGTTCAAACACAAGCTTTCTCTCATGGACTTAGATAGGATTTTAACATGGCTTAACTCCAATCATTTGTCCGTAACAATACTTTGCCATAAGGGAGTGAATGAGAACACAACAATGCATTAGGGCTTTGTACACAGAGCTGTGACAAGATAAGATCACCWTTGGGGCTTTTGCCTTCCTGTTCCAGGCTGGCATCATCTTGGGCACAGTACATAGCTACCCACAACCCCACATCTTTCTATGAGAAATTAGCCATTGATACTTTTGGATTATCCTCAGGAATGAAGAGGCCTGCATGAACTTCTCTGACTGCTAAGACAAACTCTCTCCTGACAGTGGGGAGGGTGAAGGAGCACAGCRCAGAACAAAGACATGACACAAACTATACAGAGCAAAAACCCACATGGGGATGGGTTACAGCTGCCACTTTCAAACAGTAACTGGATGCATGTCCTCCCTTACCATGAAAGCAAACAAGAAGTCACTGAATACTGCTCCGTGGTGCTGCACCATTTCCTCCACCTTGGATTCTGCCTGCTATGTGTAGGAACTGGAATGGAAACTGCTCAGCACTGTCAGTGAAGGGATTTTTCAGGCAGTTAAGTAACTTCACACATCTCTTTCCCCTGAATTAGTCTTGTGGGGCTGAAGCCAGAGAGAGTTAGGCCAGACATTAAGTTGGCCTTGGAGTTCCTGTTAGAAGGAGCTAAATCCATTTATTCTGCATTTCTCACACTAAAGCATTTTATACTCAGTGAAATTTTCTTCTCTGCAGTCTTTCAGTGGGTTGCTTTGATACTTACAGATGTGCAAYTGATTGCAAGATGATGGTTTTCTTTCTCCAACGAGTGATCTGACATGATTAAATCTAGGTGGGCATTGAGTAAGAAAAGTCAAGAGTCATGGTCTCAGTACTCAGATCAGAGGAAGGTCAACAATTTTGCCAGCCAGCCATTATTTTCTACATGGCACCTCTTCATCTTAAATTGTCCTGCTTTGCAGCTGTACTCTGTTCTCAGAGGAAAATAATACCCTTCAAATCTCTCAGGCAAACATAGCTATGCTCACTTCTACGTCTGCTTCCTCCTTGCTTGTTCTCAAAGAGCAACCAGAGGACAGAAGAGGAAGCAACACAAAAGCCAAAATTAGTAAATCACCATGCACATGATGACGGCAAATGGCAAAGGCSACTCCTATGTATCACTATAAAAAATAACACTAATTGGGGTGCTTTGAAATTTCCTGTACAACCCATAATTAGGTTAGATAAGAAACCAGCAGTGTCTAAGTGCTATAAATGTCTAAATTAAGTTATTTTGAAAGTGCTTGGCTCTTTGACATTTGAGAGTTCAGAGTAATTGGGGTATTGAAATAAAATTGCTTCTGTTATTTAAAAGGTCATTATCTTCTTCGCGTAGATATATAAGGACTATTTTCTACTCTACTGAACTGGTCTATTTGGTTCAATTAGAGCTGCTTCAGTAGATTTCTAGCAGGCCTCCTCCCACTTATCAGAGTCCCAGCACTTCCACAGAGAAGGGCCTGTAAATATAGAGCCCAGATATGGAGTATATATTCAGCTCCTAATCAGGCTCCAAAGAGCCCAGAGCTTCCCCCATGAACACCACAGGCTGCTATTCCCAACAAGGTGCAAATGAGTCCTTACACAACCAAAGCCAACAAATGCTGGCTGAAGTCAGCCTGCCAGACAAGCAAAGCCTTTGGAGCAAATCAGGATTTCAGCTKCCCAACCAAATAATCTCATAGTCTGGCAGCAGCTCTGGTCATTTTTGGAACACTACTGAGTTTCTTGTTCACAACATCCACGGTCCCACTGTCAAAGATACGCCTTTTTACTTGCTTAGTAGATCTGGTACCCTGCAACTGTGTCAGTYAAGGTGGCAACTGAAATGATTGCACTTTGACTGCATTTGATTTTGGTCAGTCCACAGTGAGAGTGCAGAAAAATAAGGAGTATAAAGACACGGACACTGGCTGAGGAAATGTAACTTACCACCTCTTCTCCACTGGAGATGCCACAGCCAGGAGRTGGTAGGGAATGGACTGAGCAATGGAGGGGCTAAAGAGCACTCTCACTATTAATTCCTGTGGCTTAATCCATGTGCTTTCCTCAGGAGAGCTGAGCCTCCCACCAAAATTGGAGTAGATATGGGAGTTTTTGCTGTCCCTCTTGGCCTGGAAGCATTTCTGCAAGGGAGAAACAAAGTCCTGAGAGTCTCCTGTCCAAACGGAAGAAGGAGACAATTTCTGACCTGAAACATGGCAAGTTCCCATGCTGCTGTTGCCCCAGKGACTGCTCTACACCAAGGGCCCCACATGCATCGAGTTGCAACACTTGAATATGAAACACATCAAGTGATTGCTGAACAGAGCACCGCTGCCACACCACAAGGACTACATTTGTACTCATTACAGCAAATATTACTCATGGTCACTGATAATCCAATGTACAGCTGAAGGCTGCCTGCTTCTGGGTACCCTACTGCCATAAGACACTTAACTCCAGTGCAGGGAATGAAAGTGAGTCCTTTTAGACAGCCCTTTTAAAAGTTTTGTGTGGCAAGTTTTCAGGAGCATCCTGACACTTGGAAGAGCTCTGACAACCTGTCCATAAGGCAAAAAGTAGAGGGAGAGTTGGCATTCCTCCACAGGAATTACACCACCCTGTACGCTCTCCCATACCACCTTCAGCCTGGCTGACTTCAATGACAGTAACTGCCATGCACATGTCTAAACAGTGACACCAGTAATGCAACAACTGATCCCTGTATTGGRAAGAGTAGCACATAGTGACAACCACAGGGAAAATTTTCCTGCAGGAATTACAGATTGCTTTGCATAGATTTCTTAAAAAAGGTTTGAGGAAATTCTTTTTTATGAGGATGCAAAGGCCCTGCAGTGCACAGGCAAATATTGCTTCATGAGTGTTAACTAGCCAGCAGAATGCTTGAGATCAGGCACTACTTATGCTCACTGTAATACGTATAAAGACTTCTGTTGCTGAACAAGAAAGCAAAATAGTTTGTGCAATAATCAAATAAGTGTAATTAAGGTATTTTAGGGGTTATGGTACTCAATTAGATTAAACTGGTTTTTAAAGTCACATAAAGGTTTTGTTGTTCCACATTTCTCTTCCTCATTTCCCTATAGGGCAGAGTTAAAACTTATTTCTGCATTTCTTATCCTAATGGGATT